TCATTTTTGGTTCATTTTGTGTTTTCTGTTCATACAAAATGGTATTTACTATAAGATGTAGTTGATCATTATAATATAGCTTAAATGATGTAGTTAAATGAAAGAACTTGGGATCCAAAATGCCTCCAAAAGTGTATTTGCAACTGAGAAATAAAAATGAAATGCGTAGGGCTGGGGAGACAGCTCAGCAGCACAGGTGCCTGCCTGGCAAGCATATCATACTGAGTTCAATTCCTGGTACCAAAAATAAATAAATAAGTAAATAATTTTAAAAACATAATGCACAAACCATGTTGCAGTATCTGGGGCCTCCCTCTGGTCCACTGGCACCACATCCCACAGGAACTTGATAGAAATATGGAATCTAAGTTTTCAACACAAGACTATTGACTTGGAATCAGTATTGGATTAGGCCCCTCAGTGATGCATATTTATACGAAATCTGGGAGGTAGCACTTTTCAGATCAGTTGTTTTACAATAATCGTCTCCCTTAATGGCAGTGGTCCTTGTGTTGAACTCCAGTCCTGTGTTTACAGCAGGGTCAAAATCACAAAGGCTTCAAAATTAAAGAAAAAATCGATCTGCACTTTTAGAATCCAAGAAGTGAATCCTTAACATGAATTCCAACAGCATCAATGTCTAACTTGTTTACAAATACAGATGATCTCCCTCCATCCCAAACCCACTGAATCAGACCTATGGCATCTCATAGGGGCAGATCCCACAGATATGTCTGTAGAGCGCCAGAGTGCTGGCTGGCAGTGGCCAGAACCCGCTGGAGCTACCTGCCAACCAGAAAAACCTACATTCCAAACACAGGGTGAAAGGAAAATAGCCTTTCCCAGTATAAACAGAGCTATGTTTTGAAGTACTAGTATCTTATCTATAGTAGACTTGACTATAGTTACTATATTTTTTCCTACCTCTTAAATCCTTGCCCTTTAAAACTCATAAAAACTGATATAAAATCTTCATCCCTAATAAGATATTTTTTACTGTTCTGTTTGCCTACCCTCCTTACCTATATCAACCATGTCATGAATTTTACTTTGCAATGATTGTCACACAAGACCAGAAAGGAACTAACTTATATATAAAGTTTTGGACAGTAAGGTTTGTGTCTTGTATCTGTGAACCCCAGGTAGCTAGGATTGTATCTGTGACACCCTCAGTACAAAATGTGTTTCTTCTTTTAGTTAATATGTTTGTTTATTTTATGAAGAACCCTATTCTCCCTAGTCTGGAGGTGCTTCTATTCTATTAAGATGAAAAGCTTTCTATTAAATACATTGAGTTCCTCGGATTGAACATAAGCAATATTCAGCACCACTTCTTTTCTAAATTAAGCACTAAAAAAAAATCAACCAACAAAGTCATAGAAGGTCTTTTCTCCCCAGTAGTACAATTGAAACATTTTAAATATTATAAAATATGTCTCCACTTTCATGCATTCAAAGTTCTAATTATTTCTTGGTCCCTTGGAGAGCTTTTGTAGGTCAGTTAAGTATTCATACTGTGCTACATTTTCCAAAAGTTCAAGTTTGGTTTGATTCTGCAGTACTCAAAATGTGGAGCGCTGGTACACACTCTTCACTCATAAACAGCAAGATCTTAAGAGAAATTTGTCCTGTGGAAAATGTGTCAGATCCCAATGTCAAATGCAGGTGTGAGATTGTTAAAATGTAATAATCTTTGTTATTCTCTATCTTGTTATGAAATTTTGTTTTATTTTATCATAGAAGTAGGAAGACTGCTTTTTACATTTTCTTGATCAATATGTACATTATTACATTAAAAAATAAAATAATTCTTTAAAAATATTAAACCTAGTTCCTTATTATTTTTTTTCTTCCACAATATTTTCCAATCCAAGTTTAATCCTAATTTTTTTAAAGTGGCAAATTATAAAAATTACAGTGATATTATGTAATTGCTAAACTTCATCTCTTTTAATTTTCAAATTGAAGAAATGATTTAGAAAAGATAGAATAAAGGATACAGAATCCTAATCACCGAATCAGTGATTTAGACACACACATGACTGCGACCTTCAAGGATGTTTGTGAGACTGAATGTAGCAAGGAGACAAAAGAAGATGAACAACAGCTCTCTCAGAAACATTCCATCTGACTTAGGTGAGATGAGGCAAAATCCCACTCACATAACCTCTTTGTAGCAGTGAGGGCTGAGAGGAAGCAGCACAGCAGAAGGGACTCCACATGAAATACCTCTTAGCACTATGCTTTCACAGAATTCCTAAATAGCTTCTTAAAAACCTGAGGCCTGGCCCATCCCCTGCACAGCTTTGGCCAGACTAGACCAGGGCTCAGAAGGTGGCCTTGACCCCTGGATCATTGCCACTTGTCCTGAAGATGAGTTCATTGAAGGCTGGCTGCCCATGTACCTCAGGGCTCCCATGCCCAGAACTGAATCCCAACCTCACATGGGACATCTTTCTATGATATAGCAGGCACTGAGGCTTTCATTTGCCTCTCCTGCTGTGGCAACCTAAACTGAGTCTATCTTCACCAACAGTCCTCCTTCAAGTCTGAAAGTAATCTCTCCATGGAAGCAGTGTAGCATTTGAAGAAAAACCATCCAGATTATTAATGAAGAATGTTACTGTCCAAGATTTCCCTCATTCTATTATAGACAGTTTATTAGAAATATAAACAAGGACAGGGCTAGGCCCTTGGGAGAGTCAGTCAAAAGAAAAAAAAATTACAATTATGGCAAGAAGGGCATCTGCTGGAGGCCAAGCCCTAAAATGAAGACAGAATGAACAGGCTTTGTGCCTCCCCAAAGAATAGGACAAGTGGTAACTCCTGGTCCAAGAAGTCTAAATAGATAACCATCACCCGGATAGGTGACTAAGACCTGAGCTCTCATCCCTTCCTGGAAAGTTATTTGTTCTCTCCACCTACACTAGCTATATAACTAGCTCCCCATTGGGTCCGTGTATCCTAGGTGCCTATACTTGTAAACTTATTGGTTGATTCTAGTGCTGTCTCACCTTGTACCCACCTTGTGATTTTGCTCCATAATATATCCTCTGTAAAGGGAGTTCTGAGACAACCCCATCAAGCTCCCTCCAGTCTCTCAGGCAAGATCTTTGTTGCCCTCAATCAAATTTCCTACTCTCAACCCCCACCAGTCCTTAGAATTCATTCTTCAAACTTGGTGAGCAGGTACTCAGGATATCATGTATCCAGCAGATTGTGAGTTATGTTATTTATTTATCCTATCTGATCTGAAGGTTCTATATCATTCTCATGAAAGAAAGAGAAAGCAAGGCAAGCAAAAAAGATACATCAACTTTGAAACCCAGGTGATGTATATAAGATAAGCTAGTTATGGCACATAAGGATGGAGTCACAGACTGAATGTGTGTGTCTACCCCCAATTCATAGGCTGAGATCATGTCTCCCAGGGAGATGGTGTGAGAAGGTGGCCTTGGGGGACAGGTAGGTCAAGGTGAGGCAGACATAACAGAATTAGTGTCCACTGACACACTCTTTCATTCATAGGAGAATAAAATGAGAATATGGCAACCTATAGACCAAACTAGATCATAGCCAGACATAAAGTCTGCCTGGATCTTGGACTTTCTACCCAGTAGATCCATAAGCAATCAATTTACATTCTACCAGTTCATAAAATTTCTTGTTATAGCAACTTAAGACAAATAAGAAAGAACTAATGATGGGCAAAGAGAACAGGCAACTTGAATATCTAAGCATTCAAAACTGCTGGTAGTGTAGTGTTAAAATAATGGAAAGAACTACTGTAAAAGACAATAAGAAAAAAAGCAACCAGCTATAAACTGAAGGACATTTTATAGGTCCCTGAGCTATGTTAAACTTCAGACAGACTTCTCCCTGACTTTGCGTCTTTCAGCTCTCTTCTCTTAAAAGGACTTGGTTGAGAAAACCTGTAATTGTAAATTCTGTCTTTGCCCCCAGGATACGGAAGGCTTTTCCCTCCTTTTGCCAATTTGATAACCAGGAGCTTCTTTCTCCAGGACCTGGGAGCAGTCCCTTTGAAATGTAATTATCAAGAGTGATGGCACCTCTACCTCTCAGTCTCCCCGAAAGTATCCAATTATCAGACACAAGGGGTGCTTAATCTTCCTTCTGTTTGCAATATTCTTTGGCCCCTACTGCAGTAGTCTTCATTAAACTTTTTTTTTTTTTTTTTTTGGCCTCTTTTACTTTGTCCAGTGCAATTTTTTCTTTGACAGCATTGGTAACAATTCATGTAGTTTATTTATGAGCAAGTAAAATGAAGCATTTCCTATCATCATGTCATATCAGAAAGTGCTTCATTCTAGTGACTAAATTGAAAAAGATAGCTAATGTCAGGCTCTACATACAGGAACTATAAAAGATAAATAAAAGACTGAACTTTTAAGTTAAATGCCCAATGGTAAGATCTTTACATGCACAAACAGTAAAATAAAGAAATCTAAAAATATATAAGAAAAAAAGAATACCTAGAAATACAGATATTTAATAATTGTGAATGGAATAGAGGAGGTTTAATTTTGAAGTCAATCTACTTTACTTGTTAGAAATAACATTTTCAGGGCTGGCCAGATAGCTCAGCAGATTAAAGTGATTGCTTAGGCAGATGCAGGGACCAGGGTTAAATCCCTGGCAGGGTGCTGGCCCCACCCTGGAGCACTCTGAGATGGCCACTGAGACTGGGAGTGGTGGCGCACACTTGTAATCCCAGCACTTGGGAGGCTGAAAATAAGACAATCACTACAAATTCAATCTGTGCAGTGAGATCCTGTACTAAATACATAAAAAAGGAAAGAACATTTTCACAATTCCTAAACTGCATCAGTGCTAAATATATTTAAAATTTAATCATCACTATTTGGAAAAAAGTAAGTATAAGCACATTACATTGGTTTTAAATCATTAGCATCAGAAATCTTAAATGATTACTGGTGCAGTATAATAAGTGATGCATATAGTATATTTTTTTAAATAAACAGGAGAGCGTGAATGCACTCACCCACTACCACAAATTATGCAGTCGAGTTTTGCACATTTGGGGAAATCGCAGGGTCAGCACATCCGGAATGCAATGGACAAGCCTCGCCCTGGGAAAACCACCTTCCTGAGCATGCTATCTCCCCCGCCAGGTAAGTATAGCATATCTTAGAAACACAGATGCCATAGCAGAAATTTTTATCTCTTAGAGTAAATAGATGTCTTTAAAAAAACTTTTTCAGCCTTTATCCTTTTTATCCTTCCCAAATAGGTATACATTATGTTAACTACATGTCTCATTAGGAGCAGAAAGTTTTAAGTTCAAAAGAATTCTGCAGGCCAGTCAAATAGCTCAGTGGATTAAAGTGCCTGCAAGCATGCTCAGGGTCCAGGGGTTCGATCACCCTCCCCCTTCAGCTGTCTTGCAGGCCCCGCCCCCTGAGTGCACAGAGATGGCCAATGAGACTGGGCGTCGTGGCACATGCCTGTAATCCCAGCTCTAGGGAGGTTGTAAACAGGCAGATCACTATGAGTCTCATCTAGTAGTGAGACCGTGAACACCCTGTAGACCCTTCCCTAAAATTAAAAAAAAAGTATTCTGCAAAGCATTATTTATGTGATGGCTAGGGTTAAATACTATTGGGAAAAATCTTCCTCCACCAACACAGAATAAATATAACAAATTGCAAGTTTGCTATTTGGAGAAAAACCTGGAACTTTAATGATTTTCTTTAGTTTTTAAAAAGTAAGAGTGAAAGTGAAGATAAGTGAACCAAACATTTGTTTCAAAACTTAAGCTAAAAATTATTACTTTTATGAAAGAACATGATTTCTTAAGAAAAAAAATAGTGTTGTTGGATCAAATAAGAGTAAAAATGGTTGTATTATTAAATAAATAACTTGTTCTCTAAAAATAAGTACAAAATACGACAATTACATTTCCTTCTAATATATTCTAATGCATTACATTAGAATGTAGTCTAATGTAGTCCGCCATGAGCATGTATTTCACATAATAGTAGTTGCACCTGTGCCAGGAGCTACACTGTGGGCAAAACAGATAGTCACTGATGTTCTTAGAGACAAGAAGCTTAGATAGCTCAGCTCAGGTTCTTTTAGGGAAAATGGCATACAGTAAATTACAGATGAATAATAAAAAGAAAGAGAGATTCTTCTCTATCTAGAGTTGTGATATCATTTACCAATTAATGCATTCAGAATGAGGAAAAGGACTTTTCAGGCAAAGGTAAGGTAAGACATATAATTTACTTATTTATTTAGTTTTGTTTGTTTCTTTTCATTTTTTGTAAACAGAGAGATCTAGTTCTATAGTCTATGCTGCTCTCAAGTTGGTGGAAATCCTTGTGCCTCAGCTTCCTGAGTGCAGAGATTATGGGAATGCACCACTGAACCCAGCCACAAAGCATTATTTTGGAGAATTGAGCAGAATTCAAGTAGACAGTGGCTACCTGTGTGGGTGTAGATACCAAGGAACTTTTGGGGCTTAGGGGAGTGAAACTGCAGCTTCAATTATTGTTTCTTCTTCTATCTTGCAAATGTAAACTTCAAGAAACTTGCGAATCACAGCCATCAACTCTTACAAAGCTTGGAGACAGAGGTACACATTAGTGTCCACCCCTGTGTGTTCCGTCACACACATCCTTGTCACTATGGCACCATATCTTTATTTTTCCATGCTCATCTGTAGCATAATTTTCTTTCTTTTTTTTTTTAAAGGAAGGGTCTACAGGGTGTTCAGAGTCTCACTACTAAATCAGACTCATAGTGATCCACCTGTTTACAGCCTCCCATGAGCTGGGATTACAGGCTGGCGCCACCATGCCCAGTCTCAATTGCCATCTCAGCCATCCCAGGGACGGGGTCTGCATGGCAGGGCCAGGGATCAAACCCTGGCCCCTGCGCCTTCTTGCAGGTGCTTTAATCCACTGAGCTATTTGGCTGGCCCTAATTTTTTTAGTCTAACAAGTTAATTGGGTAAATATTATGAATGTAATTCCATGTGGATTTTTGAAAAAGCATGTGCCATGTTGTGAAATGTGTCCCACATATAGTCAAATTAAAAATGTAGGTCAGGAGTCAGGAGCAGTGGCACACACCTAGAATCGAGCCCTTGGGAGGCTGAGGCAGAAAGACTGCCTTGAGGTTAACGTCAGCCTGGACTCATGGTGAGACCCTTTCTCAATTTAAGTAAGCCAGAGATTACTCTGCTCACATTAAGATGAAGAAACCTACATGTATGCACAGATATGTGAATATTATGTTTTTATTGGACAATAAGTTTAAGCTGTTATTTAGATTCTTTTATACACCTACAAAAATAATAATTTTTACATTTTTAGAATAATGTATTCTATGTGCTTTCATTCATGTATGTTGTATTTACTTTTGAACAATACTGATTTGAGATAACGAAGGTAATGTTGTCTTTATTTCATACATAAATAGCTTTCTGTGGTTTTTTTTAAAAAAATCATCATTCTACGTCTGAATATTTAGAAAATTCCAAAATTCCAGGACAATAATCTCATTAGGACTGAATCTCTGTGTGATTTTGCTATTGACTTAGTTTCACAAGAATGAAATATTATAGTTATAGATGTGAATATGCTTTGAAGAAAAGATGTCTCTGCCGCAGCACTTAGGGAACTCCTTGGTTGTTGAAGCAATTATTTTGCCTAAAACTTATTGAACTCAAATGCCAGATTGCACCCCGGGGTGCCCAGCGGTGGCTGCACCTTGGAGTTCATTGCGTCCTATCCAAATTCCCTGGGGACTGTTTTCTCCTGTTGTCACTAACATATAACTGTGTCAATATTCAAATTACAGGAAGTTAGGAAATAAACTGTTTAGATATCAGTCCTCCAAAGATATTTAACTGCACATGTTCTAGGAGAAAAAAGCATAACTAGTTGAAAATTTTGATATTATGTTTACATTAAAATCTTTCTTTTAATAGTCTGCACAATATTTATGGATGATAACTTTGTTGAGGATTGATTTTAATAGGTGTAACAAAAGGTTTTTCTTAGACCTGGGGTTATTTTTCTCCTCAAAATAACACATGACAAAAGTTATGTTATAAATTAATAACTAAAAGAAGCAAAACTTCAATTTAAAATGACACGATTTATAATCAAAAAATTATATATATATATATATATATATATATATGCATTGAAGAACTTCTATTAGCAGTATAGCTTTTAGGGCCTGCAAGATAGCTCAGTAGACTAAGCTCCTGCTTAGGCAAGTGCAAGGACCACAGTTCAATCCCCAGCACCACAGGCCTTGCTGGCCCTGCCCCCCAGGGTGGGCTGAACCAGCCAGAGTACATAATGACATACGCCTGTAATCTCAGTGCTGGGGAGGCTGAAAGTAGGAGGATCACCATGAGTCCAAGCTGCATAGTGAGACCCTGTAAGAACCAAATACATTAATAAATGAATAAATTGGTATACTTTTAAAATTTTATTTATTTATTTATTTATTTGGCAAGCATGAGGGTGAGGCAAGAGGGAGATGCCATTTGATATTTTTTTGAAGCATGTTAGTGTTTTGCCTGAACTGAACACGTATTGTTTTTTTGGATTTTTTTTTTTTAACCAGGGATTGAACTCAGGCCCTTATGCTTGCCAGGGAAGTGCTTATTCCACTGAGTCATCTCCCAGCCCCTGAACACATATTGTTGATTTTGCGAAGACTAAAAATGATTGGAGGAAAAACATTGCAGTTCAATGAAAACTTTTACCTTGTCCATAATATATTCTTTTAGGACATTTGATTCTGATTCCAAAGGAGTCAGTTTACAACTACAAAATTCAATCTGAATCTAAAAATAATAATAAGAAACCATGTTGCCAGATGAAACATGAGCTGTCCACCTTTTCTTCCTCACCTCCTTCCTATTATTGGAGCAACCCAGTTGTTATCCACTTGCAATTTCTTCTGCCAGTCTTTTGTGCTGTGTAAATACAGCCCTCTTGGTTCCCTCTTTGAATCAACTGCAACATCTACTTGCCACCCTCATTATGAATTAAATAAAATCTTCAACATATGCTCATTTATATTTGCATGAAATTAGTGGTTCTGTCATTTAAAGATAATGTTCTTTAACAGGGTTAATATATATAAAAGTAACAACAACCTTGCATGGCAGAGGGCGGAGGGAAGAAAGTCACAGTTGTTGCTATTGTTGTGGGCAAGCATTCTTGGTTTTATGTGCTTGGATACAATCATGATTAAAACTGTGGAAGGTCAGAGTGCAGGAGGAGAGTCCAGTAAACAAATACTCCCAGTACGATGTGTTAAGAAATATAATTGAGTTAAGTACTAGGTCCTGCAGAAACGTGGTCAGAATACCAATCTACTCTGTCCTGGGGTCAAGAGAACACTGCATGTGGGACCAAAAGTAGAGAGTTAGGTTGGAAAAGGAGTTATGCAATCACATTATTTGCCCTAGCTCCTCCTGATGAATACTATAATCAGATATTGTAATTTTTAAAACAATCAGGGCAAAGCCAAGTGAACAAGCTCTCTTTTACTCAATCAGAAAACAAATGAGCTTGAGCACAAGGCCCCATTTACTACTGGTAGGAAATCAGCAGAGACACAGAGTGTGGTATTCTGTGCCTAGCCCGTGTGGATTTAGCAGTGGCTGTAATGATAACAAGGGAAAAATGAGAGAGAGAGAGAGAGAGAGAGAGAGAGAGAGAGAGAGAGAGAGAGAGAGAGTTTCAAAATAAATGCAAGGAAGTTTTTAAGCAAAGTTATTTTAAATTTTATGAAGCTTGGAACAGAAAAGTATCAATACAATATTGCGGCATTATATATCTCCTTTCAAGGTCCTTTCATATCTAGCTATTCTATCAATGTGAACTCAGAAAGGAGACCTTGAGAATTCATTTGTTGAAGGGAATATTAACAATTTTACAGTTAAATGGTCGAAAATAAAGTGGATAATAAGAGGTATGACGACAATTTTAAATATTTTCAAATCTATGGGGTTAACAGTCTCGAAAAATATTTTCAGTGTACAGTAGTTCCTTTAATTTCCCTAATCACCATGGAAAAGGGACTTTATTATTTATGTTTTACAAATGAGAGAGTTGTTACAGGAAGGAAATAAACAGCTTTTTCCTT